AATACCTCATAATAAAAGGTGGAGGCACACAAATAGATGTACTCTTGGAGAGAAGCTGATAATTAAAACTTCCTTGTAGAGCATTCGGCACTGCAGACTGATAGTTAAATCAGAATTAACACTTCAAAATCAGCACTAAGAGACTAAATCTAAATACTTCATCTTCTCAGACCAAATGAAGACTTTCAGGATTTTATTTGCAGGCCTCTAGAGAAAACACAGTACTAATTCACCAAACAAACTGAAGTGAGTGAAGCACCCAGGTGAGGCCTCTGCTGAGCCTGAAAACACTTTTTCTGTGGAGACTTTTGATGTTCTTACTATCCAACACTGGTTTTAAGAAAAAATAATTTCAAAAGTTTCTTGGTACTTATAAGGAGAGTTATCTCAGGGTTTATTATGGCCTAGTGAAAAGACTGCAATAAGGGTTTTGTACCTGGGAATCCATAAAAACAGAAATATACAGTTCAACTAGGCATAAGAAGAAACAGAAAAAGCAACCGGAAGTTTTGCTCGACTGTCAAAATGTCTCCTAGAGCACTTGTAACATCAAGCGCAGTGCTCTCAATACTACAGCCCTTTGCAAGATGCAACTGAGTTGCATACTACACAGCTCAGTAGGGAACCAGTTCACTTCCTGCAGCAGCTGTGTAAGGCACATGACAGGTATAGCCATTACATCCTTCTTCCTCCCTGTCCACCTGCACAAAGCTAAAAACAAATCTGGTCTGCAGAAGCCCAGAAGTAACCTCTAAATACATCAAGTTCTTAAGCTCTGGGAACAGTTTCCTGTTTCCTTGTGCCTGTGCTCTGCACATTGAGCAGTGCTGCATTGTGCTCAGCTCCACACAGGGCTCTGTGGGCTGAAGGTTCGCCAGGGCTTGTGGTGCTGATGAAGACTTTTGCCTTTTTGCTACCAGTGCTTTATTAGCAGAATTTTTTTTATAACACATTTCTTCAGATTTGATTCTGCCTTATTGAATTAATTATGCTTACATTTAAAACACCTAATAAATAAAATCCATGACATCTCTAAGTAACAAACAGCTGAATAAATTTATAATCAAAAGAATATGCTTTCAAGTAAAATAATTCTGAAAAAAGACAAAGCCAAATTCATGTCATTTTAAGTGAAAAAATTGTGTCCCTGGCTGAAGGACAATATTTTTTTAATATGTAACATAGAATATTTATTTTGGTAACAGTAAGAGAGAAATACTCATCTAATTGCAAACAGTTTTCAAAAATGTATTTGGACCACAGATTTAAGACATATGAATTCCAGAGGCTGAAGAGAAGAAGGATCTACAAAGATAAAGTCGTATCACGTGGCTGACCTCCCTATATATGTCTCTTTGTTCTTAAAGATCTTTCGATTAAGATTTGCAGTTCCCAAGTGATTCCAAGGACGACTAAGAAATTCCTGGAGAGGAAATGACAAAGAAAACAGCTGGAAGACTATCCTATTAATGTGGGGTTTTTTTTACTTTTTTTAAATACAGCTCTCTCCATCATGAGAGTCAGTCTTGAACTGCTGCTTCTGCTTCATGTTAGACTTCCACACCCCATCCTGGCCAAATTTCGAATTAATATATTCAGATTTTCAGATTACAGTCTTTGAGTGTTGTTCAATTAACAAATATTTAATGTTACCAAAACCTGATGTGTCCGAGTTTTTGCAAACTCCTAAAATCTTCACCAGGTTAAGCTGTCTGTTAACGATAACTAGCTCACTTGAACCCTGTGTCTTTCTGACTGTCATCTAAAGTATTCCTCCTCTGGTTCAAATAGATATCTCTACTTACCCTGAAAGGATAAGTAAAAGCAAAACAAAACCAGGTTTGATTCTTTACAGTTTAACTGACAAAAATCTTGGATTAAATTTCCAGTTACTTTCATTTGGGAAAATACAACTGGGTTCTTCAGGTGGCGCATAATGAAGAATCTTCTAAGACCAGGTTGAACATTTCATGTGTCAGGATTGGCCCAACACTCTCCTTCTCATACACAGACTGCTGTATGATTGTAAATAAGGAATTTTAGCCTACTTGCATTGTTTTCATACTTTAGTTAAAAATCCATGTTTCAAAAATGACAATTTATACCTGTATAAAATTGGAAATCTAATGTAAGTTCTGCACTGTTTTGAAAGACACCAGTACTTTCCATATGATGTTTCATCAGATATCCATCACAATCTAAATACTCTTTAAGGGTGCTATGATTCATCATTTTAGATAAAAGTTCTGTTCCTTCTTCTGCAGCCCTAATATTATTATGATGTAGTTTACTTCTACTGACTTTATTCTGTGATTAAGACAACTATTTACACAGCGCTCATTTATGCAGAGAATAGGCATGGCATGGCAGTGCAAGCTACATACACAGCAACATGATTTCTGACCTGACGGGGACTACCACTTGTGGCATCTTCAGTGCCTTGCAAAGTACTAGCTGGGACAGCAGTTTCTGTGATGTGCAAATTTACTCACCATGAATTGGGTGGAAATAGTTGATCTATTTCACACAAAGGATCAAATAAATTTCAAGGCTAGTGGCTTTTGCTAAATTCATGCCTATTAAACAAGTATCCAGCATCTGAAAAGTACAAGAGTATATAACCACACAGATACTACTTAAAGAGATGCTAGCTCTAACAGCTTTGGTTCTGCTTGGGAGCACACAAACGCATGTCGCATTCTTCTTCCATATTAAGTGTCTATTCTGTTGGTACAGTCTGATAGTAGAGTGGAAGAACAGCAGACTCATATTTTCCTTTGAAATTATAAACATAAGTATTCAAGTTCTGTATTATTTGGCATGAAAGCTGTGATTTTGTCTTTCTTGCAGGCTGTCTTTTATTTTGGACACTCACAGATTTTTCTGGATAATGGTTATCGGAAAAAATTTTCTAAAGTCTAGTGAGATGAGACCTGTATTTTTAAATGCATATCACAGTTGTATCTGGCCACCTACACTTCCTAGGTGTGCTCTTAACTGCCCACATTTTAAAGGAGTCTGTGAAGTTGTTAGGTTTGAACTTACACTTCCTCTTTTGTTTTGCTATATAGGATAGTGTGCCAGCTAAGCACTCACCTAGCAATCCATGGGTATAACACAGGTGACAATACTGCAGAGGCAGTGCTCTCATCTTACATTCAGATGTGCCAGCTCTGGAGTGCAGTACACAGTATTTACAAGACCTATCTAATATTAGCATGCTAAAATGGAGCTAGGCTGCAGAGAGGTCAACTAAATAAGCAAGCCTGTGTTTCCCACAATCTATGCACATGTGGTTCTTTGGCACCGGTAAATGAGATTGCCTCCCAACTGGTTATTCTCTAGAAACAGTTTATCTGGACAGGCATCTTGACACTAGCAATTGCTGGTCTTGAAGACCTGAAGGGTGTTTTCGTCTGGAGCAAAGGGAAACTGAGTAGGTTTGTACGATCCATATGAACTTCATTTCCCCCTATAGTTGGCTTTGTGTACAAAGTCCTTGATGCAGAATAGCCAAGTGACAGGAAATGCGAAAGGCAAGCCCACTTCAACAATACAACTGCTGCCGCTTTGATGAGTGAAGGGTTAAAAGGCGCAGCCCAAACGGGACCAGTGTGGTCTCCTTGTCATATGACATACAGTCATTAAAACTCCTTCTGCACTACTGCTAGGAGACCTCATTTGAAGACAGACAGACAAATTACTACTTTGCTAATTTGTCCTAATGATGAAGAACTTGGAAGCGCAATGCAAATCATGGCCTTCAGCAACCTTATCAGTGAGCAAAGCAGTTCATTGCAGAAGTTATAATGTATTCCAATCTAACTAACTGGGCTTATTCATTTAGAGATACAGGTAATGGAAAAAAGCAAACAGATAATCCTGTCCTTTGCAATGGAACTCTATCTCTCATAGAGCACTGCAGCACCAACCTTTTTTTAACTCTTTTTCCACAAACCTAAAAGGCCCATTTGAGGCTCTTGTTTTTCCCTGTGCTAGTGCCACCACTGCCTGCTTGTTGCCCACCCCAGCTCACACACAGGCTCCCTTTTAATTCACATCAAAGCAGCTACGGTAATCCTCCACCCCACCTACTCTCTCAATCCTGGCAGTTTGTCCATTTTCCACGGCGCCAACTCTGCCAGCATCTAGATGGAACTTCCGGGCCCTGCAGCCATATCCAGCCCCAGCTGCTTCCCATCTCTCAATCCCTCTTCTTCGCCAGCAGTGCCTCCATGACACCTACTTGGCCAGTTTCTGCCCGCACAGCTTCCCGGTCTTCCCTAGAGGAGCTCCCTACGCTCTTCACTGGGAAAGCCCTTCTTTCCTAGGGAAGGGAAAAGGTCCTACCACTTCTTTTTTCCCAGGGAAGTGGTGGAATCGCCACCTTTACAAGCGATCAAAACTTTCAGACGAGGCCTTCAGTGATACCATTTAGTGGTGGACTTGGCAGTCCTGAGGTAAAGGTTGGACTTGATGATCTTACAGGTCTTTTCCAACCTAGTCGATTCTATGGTTCCCGGTGGCGGCGGGTACGAGAACGTCTCGGTCCCCGGGCGGTGGGCGGGTGCCCGAGCGGGGAAAAGAACCTAGCGACAAGCTCACTCAGGCGGCGGCTGGCTGCGGCCTGCGCTCCCGCCCGAGGAGGGACTCCGGGGGAGGAAAAGCAGGCCCGGCTAGTTCCTCCCGGCCAGCTCTTCCCGGGATGCCCCGCCAGCCCTCCCGCCCACGGCACGTGTTGATGGAAAGGCGGTGGAAAGCAGGCGGTCGTCACCCGGCCCCTCTGAGCAGCGCCGACGGCCGCGGGGAGAGGGGAGCGCGCCCGGCACCCCTGGGGAGGGCCGCAGCGAGGCGGAGGGGCCGCGCGAGGACGCCTGACGTCGGCCGTTGCGGCGGCTGCGCGCGTGCGCGCTCTCGCCTACCCTTCCCAGCCCCCGCCGTGCGCGCGCCCGAGGCCGCCGGCTGCAGTGATTGGAATCCGGCCCCTGCCCGCTCCGCCCCGCGCCGCGCTGGGAGCTCTGCCGGGACGGAGCCTGCGCCGAGCCCGGGCCGCGCCGTCCCGCCCTCGCCCCACAGGCACCCGCCTTCGCCCCCGTCTCACCGGAGCCGTCGGGGCCCCGGAAACGGTCTGCGGAGCGCGGCGGGGAGCGGGCCCCCTCCACCTTCGCTTTCCCTCCGGCCTCGGAGGATGAGGAGCACCGACCGCCGGTGAGTGCGAGGCCGGGGCGGGTTGGGCTACCCTTCCGGCGCGGAGGCCGCGGCAGTGTGTGCGTGCGGCTGAGGAGCGTCGGGGCGTCCCGGGCAGCCCGCCGCGCCCCTCCCTCGCCCGGCCGGGGGGCGCGGGGCGCTGTTCCTCTCGCCGTCGGGCGTTCCACCCCCGGCGGTGCTTGGCAGGGTCTGCGCCCCCTCCTGCCCCCGGGGCTCTCTCTCCGCCTCCCGGCCGCGGGCAGCGCCGTCGAACGCGAACACCCACTGCGGCGGGTTCCCTGTCTGGCGGCGGTTCTACCCCACCGGCCTTTCTTCTCAAGGGGGCCGTGAGCTCCCACAGCCCTGCCCCGCGGCGGCGCTGGGGGCGCTGCCTCTCCCCTCCCCAGCTGGGCCCGGGGCCGCTGGCGGGGGTCGGGCGGCGGCCCGCTGGAGGCTTGGCGGCCGCCGCGCCGGCGCAGGGGCTGCTCGGGGCCGGCGGTTTCCTGCGTGGGCACGGGGGCCGCCGGCACGGCGTTGGCGGGGCCGGGCCGCCTGGCAGCCTGCGCTGAGTCCTCTCGCCGTGCGCTCCCTTCCCCCGCGTCTGCTCCCCTGGTGTTGTAATGCCGGGCTCGGTGCCGAGCAGCCCAGCCGGAGCGAGCGGCAGCGGCTGTCGTGGGGAGGGTGCGAGGAATAAGGTGCTTCATCTTCCTTTTATAGGAAGACGGCTTCCTGGGTCTGTTACCGTTTAGCGATGTGAAATGAAAACCTGAAGGAAAAATAAACCCAGATCATCGCGCATACCTTAGTCATAGAGGATTGTGCTGTTGAGCACCGATTAAGTGCGATGTTTTCGTAATTGATTACAAATTCTGTTGAATGGGGTTTAAAAACATAAATGGTTCTTTACCACCCTTCAATCAGTTTTGACGAAGACGAAATGCAGCCGCAGGGAATGATAGTAAATGATGGTATTTTCATTCACCAGTTGCCTGTTACTTTGTGTCGAAAGTTTTGTGATGGTTCTTCCTAGTGTAACTTGATTCGGGTTCTGATTTACATTTTTTGTTTTCTCTGGACAGGTACTTAATTTTTGAGTTCTTTTATCGAGTTAGTGTCGTAGGGATTGTTCAGACCTGTTATGTATAGGAATAGAGAAGCTCCTTTAGTAGACAAGGAAGACTGCTAGATTGCAAAAGTTGCCTGGTTTGTAGTAGAACCTAGTCCTGGAATAAAAAACGTTAACATGAAAGCAGTTTATATTCAGATACTTTATCCAGTCCCTAGCCAGAAATACCCCATGTTGTGGCATTTGTAGCAATCTGGATGAAATTTTTGCTGGCAAAGTATTTGTTCTTTGTTCTTGTGCTTTTGCTTGTTTTGTAGTTTTTTCTTAGGTTATTCACCACATATCGTTTGTTATGTATGTGTTTTGTATATATTTATACAGAGACATACAGCCTGGTAGGCTTTGACTTCTAGTCTGAAATAGCATGTTACTTGGAATTCATTGGTCAAATAAGTATTTACTAAAACAATATGTAGCTGGAGCATAGCGTTTCTTAAAGTCAGTGTATGGATCCTTGCAGTGAGAACTGTGTGCTTCATTATGAGAATTAAAACTGTTGAATATGGTACTGTGTAAACAACATATGTTTTTTTGGGATACCAGCGTTCAGGAATTGAGGATCTAAAGTGTAAGCCATGTAACCAAAGTAATTAACTTTATAGGAGTTGGTGTGTTTATTGAACTATTCCAAGTCAGGGCTAACAAAATAATGATCGTGTTTAGCATTGTGTATGGCTTGTGTTCAGATGTGCAGTAAACAGTGTCTGCTAACTTCTTTCCAAATGGACATGCATTTGTCATAGATGAGCATTACTGATGTATGAAATGTCATGAAGTATTGCATTACAAAGAGAAAAAGATTTTGGAGAAGCAAGCAATAGCTTTATCTACTTCCCAGGGTTCTGAGAGGCAACATATTAGTGGATAAATTGTTTTGCTTTGTTTTTGTTTTCGGTTCGGGTTGTTGGTGGGGTGTTGTGTTGTTTGGTTTTTTGTTGTTTTTTTTTTTATTTGGGCTTTTTTTTTTTTAAATTGATTATCTTATTACTATTATTACTTGGTTTTAAAATCGGCAATAATGATAATATGTTGTTTGTCCTCCAAGAAGTAATATACAGGTTCTGTGGCTATGCAATATTAACAACAACAACAAAAACCCAACAAAAAAAAACACCCCAAAAAAACAAACAGAAAAACCTGGGGAAGGACTTGCTAAATATTAATGGAATTATATTTATGTAATGACAAATCAGTGCAGGCTATATTCTACAGACATTTAACTTGGAAAAGACCTTTAAGACCATCAAATCCAACTGTTAACCTAGCACTGCAGAGTCCACCACTAAACTACGTCCTAAATATTTTAAAAGGAAACAGTGTTTTGAAAATAGTGATATTAAATAACTGAATTAATGGAATATCTCTTGAACTGTTTCTTTCAAAGAAACTCTGTGGCACAAATATATAGATTGGAGGATCCAAGTACATTCTTTTTACAGAAGGGATCGAAGAACTGATATTAGTGCTTGCAGTAATTTTTTGGTATAGCGGGCTTTCCAAAAGAAACAAGCTGATCTTGTCCGAAGCCTGTAGAAGAGAACAAACAAAAGGGAAAAAACACACCTTATTTTGTTTTTTTGGTCGTTGTTGGGGCTGGTAACTTACGATGAGGGGCAGTACCTCTTTCCAAGAGCAGGTAAAGGTCTGACACACGTTGCTGCAGTGACTGTTTTGGTAAATTGTTGAAAAGCATAGATGGATGAATGAGACCAGACAGTACGTGGCAGGGAATGTGTTACAAAAGTGTATGTTTCTCCCTTGCTTATGTTGAAGATGAGTTGCAGATCTGTCCTTTCTAGCTAGATATTTGGGAAGGCGTCTACTATTTCTTGGTTGCATAGTAAGAAGAGGACATTCTTTTTCAGTCTCAAATTTTCTTCACTTGCCTTACTGTCGTCAGTAATTTTAAAGATACAGCATGTCAGAGTTGTACGTGTGTGCAGATGGAGTACTTGCAGCCTTGCTTCACTTGCTGGTATTTCCAAAATGCAGGACTTGGGGGCAGATACAGAGTGCATGTGCTCAGTGGTCTGACAGCAAACTTTCCCTTTTGCTGCTTCTGATTTAGTGGTTCCACTTGTTCCTTTCTTGGACCAGATCTGCAGAACCCTCTGCAGTCACCCCACCACACTCATTCTGATGGTCCCCGGGCATGTCTTTTGTGTCTTCTGCAATGTTTAGTGCTTTAAAAGGAAAGCAAGGAGTTCCTTTGTGCCTGGTTTTCTTGCAGCACCTTAAAAGTTGCTGTGAAATCTGTTGAGGGTTTGATATTTTTTGACTACTTTGATAAGTAGTTTTACTTATTCTGAAAAATGTTTAAAACTGAAAACAAAAGTAAAATGTAACTTGCTATATAGTATCTTTTGAATGTAGTATGGAGACTGAAATAGGTGATCCTTAAAATTGGGCAGAAAGTTCAAAAAGTGACCTTATTTGTCTTCATTGTACAGAAAACATTTTAATGTTCTGAATGCTCTTATTGAGAAGATAAATGAAGGTAGCCATTTTGTGAGGGATTCAGTTCAGAAACATCTCAGTACTTTGTATGCTGCGTATGTAATCCTCAAGAGGTTTACTTTGATACAAATAAGTAACCTGCAGTTGACCAGGCTAATAAACTAGGGCACAAGCTGCTAACTTGCCAGAATGGTCTTCCCAGCACCTCACTGGGTTGTGTTTATGGAACATACTAGGTGCATTTTATGCCTACTATCCCTGAAAAGCAAAATAGAATAATTAGTCTTCTAGTCTTCAATATCTCCTCAATACGTATTTTGAAATTCATTGTGTTGGGATCATGACACAAACATTTCAGGTCACTGTATGTTTGATATATTAAGAAGCCTGTGAATTTTATTGTGGTAATAAGTTGCATGAGCTTCTGGTTATGACTTTGTTCTTTCAGCTGTACACAAATGGTATAAAAAATATGGTCAATCTGTTCTAGGCTTACCATCCAGATAGTTTTATTTCTTGCCAGATTTCTATTCAGTATCTTGTAGTTGCCTTCCCATTTAATTTGAATTTCTCGCTTAGGTTTGCTGCTTTATGATTATAATACACATTTTCATTTTATATATGGTAAATAAAATTGAAAGTATAAAAGTAGGAAAATTAGCCCTTGTTCATGATTGGGATCATATTCGTAGATTGTATATGTATGATGAAAGGAGAAGCAATGGCAAAGCCCTATTTAAGGTCCAGTATGTTACCACCTCAGACTTTTTGCAGGGACATCTGTTGTTACACTGAAGACAGTTGACTTGATGAAGCTCTTCCGTAGTCATCAGCCGAGTCTGCTATCTGTACTGGATTCAGTGGTGGTTGTATTCGGGGTTGGGAGAGGTGTTCTGAGTAGCTGAAGGGTATGGACTTTAAGTGTTTTATAAGGTTCTGATAAGACAAAATATGTGAAGTAGTCGTTCATAGCATGAATACCTGCAGCATGTGGCTGTATGCTCTGATGCTCATTTTTCCTCCAAAATAGAATTTCCCAAAACACAGAGGAAAATATAGTAGGTTTAAGCATGATTTCAGTAGGTGATGAGTTGGCTGTGCATTTAAAGGAGAAAAAAAATCAGTATTACTAACACAGCACCGAAGTACTGTTGTTTAATTTGCATCATATAACAGCAGCAATGCTTTTTACAAAAAAAAATTAAATAAATTTTATGTATCCTCAATTGCTTTACATGATGCTTTCAGTCAACTTTCTTAGCATAAAATGTGGAAGCAACTAGCAATACATTGTGCCTGTATTCTTTCAGTTCACTATCTTAAGGAGAAAACTATCAATCTTGCCATGTTTTGGCTGATAAAAATACAAGCAGATGTAGCAGGGATAAGTCAGAGAAATATCAAAAAAAGTCTTAGAAGGTATGTACCAGGATACAGA